ATAGACGTCCGCTCTCTCTCTATAGCCGAACGGCCGAGCGCACACAGACGCGTGACGTAGCGCTTCTTACTTGTGTTGGGGCTCGAGAGCCGCGATAGTAGATATCGCATCACTGACCTGCATTATACATATTTAAATTGCTGTATTTTTGATTTTTTAAATTAAAATTTTCCGTATCTTTAAACGTTAACCTTTTGCTCAGAATATCAGTTGTGCTGGCATGAGCATTCATTTCGATAACTCAAAGTTTGCAAAATTATTGCATCGTAGATTAGCTATTATTTCTCTGATTTTTTACTATTTTATAGTATTTTTACAAATTTATCAATTAAAAAAAAATACATTTTGATTCCCTGGTACATTCAGAAACTGTTCAAAATTTTACTTTTTTTTTCTTTTTATTAAACTAAAAAAAATTAGACTAAAAGTTAAAGATGAAGACATTTTCTTCTTCCAAGATGTGATGAATTTAAACAAGCTACAGAAAATTTGTAAATCTTTTTACGAATGAGATTACGAACAGCCATGAACTGCTACTAGAAAAGTTTTTAATAACCGTAATAAACGTAAAAAAAGACAGACACCTCTCACAGTTACTATTGTTATCCTTGGCCCGAAAATTATATTGGTTCTTATGGAAGGACTTTTTCTAATTGATTCTTATGGAAGGACTTTCTCTACTATGTTATAGAATTCAATGGCAACAAGTAGTCTGACAACTTGTAGCCATAAAAGATGTGCGGTGCTTTGCCTCAGGCACGGCGCATCCGTAACGCGATGAGGTTCCTTATTTCTTGACTGCCAAATATCAATGCTTTAAACGCGATTTTTAAGATCTTTTTCTTTTTAAATAATTAATTCAATAACAAAGTTTCTATTATTACATTTATAATATAATAATCCTAAAATATTATTTATGATATAATAATCTTAAAATATTATTAAATTATATTTGATAGATTAGATCTAAAGATCGTGTTTAAAACATTTGATATTTGGCAGTCAATCGCATTACGTGACGACCAAATGCGCCCTATATAAAGCAGGATACACACCTTGATTGCAGTTATCAAGCAATTTCTTGTTAAAATAGAAGGGGGAGTAGACGTGGACGGTGGACATGGACTCATGAAATTCGGCTGAAATGTGCAGTTTATATCGAGCTCTGTTGAAGACGATAAACTGTGACGCGTTCGTTACTTAAAGACGTCTGGCAAAAACTTTTTTTTATTAAAACAGAAATATAAAAAAATATCATACGAGAAAGTCGAAAAAACTTGTATCAGACACTAACACGAACTCACTGTTATTTATAAAAGACTGGTTTCACAACTGGATTTTCAGTTGCATTGTAACTACCGCGGTGTGCGCTATTTGCTTATCACATTTAAACTGTCTACCATTTCAAACAGTAAATTTCAAAAAGCAATAATAATAATCGTATAAAACCTATGTAATAATTAAATTAGTTTTAATTTATTTAATTAATTAATTAATAGTTTAGAAAATTAGTACACGAATATTTTAGTCTATTAAAAATTAAAAAATAAAGAATTATCGAACAATTTACAAGAAAAATAAATAATCAATAATAATTTTTTATTTATTGCAAATTTATACTACGAATATTACGAGTTAAGTTTAAAAAATGTATATTTATTTCACACACATCTTTACAAATATGCTTTTTGTAATAGTCATAATACTGTTTCTTGTGTATCTTTTCGAACTTAACAAGAAAAAATATTACAAATTAAAAAGAAATTTGCAATTTGCCTTTTCGTTGCCTGGTGAATCTATATTGACAGTGTTTATCAAAACGCTGCAAATTGCTTGGAAATATGAAGGTAAATAAAATGCTCTCAATAGATTAACCGAATTCAATATTAATATTTCAACATAATAAAATATATTTTCTCATGTTTATAATTTAAATATTATATTTTTATTTATTTAATTAAATAATGTAACTTTATAATGCAAAGAAAAAGAATTTATGTTCAAACAATAACAATCACAATTGTGTAAACAATA